GCATTTAACGTGCTTTATTTTCTTCCTTCCGAGCCAATGATGCAGGCGCTTCTGTTCCCAGGTGAGGAACCCGAGGCCCAGAGAAGCAGAGAGAAGCCTCCGGAGGCTTCTCTGGCAGGGCCTCGAGCCCTGACCCCACCACCCTTCTGACCGATTTTTGACCACCTAAAAATAACAGGGTGAACCCAGTGGAGACGCTCTGACCTCGCCAGTGGCCACCACAGGCGGAGAGAGCCCCTCTGTGCCCCGCTAGGGCTGCAGCCCAGGGTGCCTGTGGGACCGGTGTCCCCCGTGAACCTCGGCTGGGCTCTGAGAGCTGCCAGACCCCTGCCCGCCGCTGCTCAGCCTTCTGGGGAAGAGGCCCTGGCCGTCTCTTCTGGAAAATCATGGGAGGCACCTGAGAGGACTCTCTTCATTTCTCTTCAGAGTTCTTTCTGCCTCTGCGTCAGGCAAACAAAACAAACACCTTGGGAAAGAAATCGAAGACTCCCACATTTTGGCTTCCTGGAGGGTCTCTGGGGAGCGGCCGGTCTGGGCATGTACCCACCCCTCTCTTCAGTGGCCTGTCTTCCCTTCTTTATCAGCACCCATTTTTCTAGGATGTTTTTGGTTTCACATTGCAGGTTGCTCTGCTAGAAACTTCTAGGCATGTTAACAGGGAGAAGCTTGTGGCCCAGCTAGGGGAAGGCAGGGTGCACAGAAATGTTTCTAGAACTAGAGAGAAAATGGTACATTATGTAACAGAGAGGCGCAGCGCGCTGGGAGTTCCCGGGAGAAAAAATCATACGGGTGGAGGAGGTCGGGAGACGTGGAGGGGAGGAGGCATGGGGCTCTTGCCATCAGGGAGTGGGTAGGAGAAGCAGGGGCTCAAGTTGGGGGCACAGGGTAAGCTAAGGCACTGATGCAGGATAACCGAGGCCACATTCGGAGACACCTGGACAACCCCATTGGTCGGAGCCGCGTAAATCGGGAGTGTTAGGAAACACACCTGGAGGGCCAGGTGGGGGAACGGAAGCTGTGGGGGGTATGAGTGGAGCCGGAGGGGCAAGGGATCCATCTGCCCCCCCCCCCCCCCCCCCCCCCCCCCCGGGGACTCCACCTCCGGCTCTTGCTGTCCCTGCACCGGAGTCCCGGCAGCTGCAGGAGGTGGCATTGCACTCTCTCACATTTGCACGTTCCGTCCGTTCATTGGGTCTATACTGAACACGAGCGCTGGCTGCTCTCGAAGCGGGGACGCCACAGAAGGGTAAGGCACAGTTGGTGCATTCTAGGAGCTCGCAGCCCAGCAGAAGGGATGGATCAGGTAACTGACTGCTACAGAAACAGGCTGAGATGAGAGCTTCGGCAGATGTAAACACAGCACCTAGGAGGGCAGCGACACCATTCGGGGTCAGGATCCCCATTTCCCTGTCTGGGAGGGAAATCTGCCCATTTTCTGACCTTGGAGTTGAACCCCACCTCTCCTCCACAAAGCTGCTTCTCTGCCGGGGCTTCAGGCAACGCGCCCACTCCCCTCGCGTGGTCCCAGACTTCACATGCAGGCCCTACTGAAGATGTATAATGTAGAAAATCACTGGTCTTTTGAGTCTGGACCTAGAAATCCCAAGCAGGCCCACCGTTATCGCTGTCCCAGTGCCTCCTGCAGGCCGTCCAGCTCTCCACTTGAAATCAGGAAGTCCACTGATTCCTCCTAAAATGCCCTGATGTGGGACACCTGGGTGGCTGGGGCAGTTAGGCATCCGACTCTTGATTTGGGCTCAGGTCATGATCTCATGGTTGTGAGATCGAGCCCCATGTCGGGCTCTGTGCTGACATGAAGCCTGCTTAAGATCCTCCCTCCCTCCCTCCTTCCCTATCTCTCTCTCTCTCTCTAAAAAAAATGCCTTTCTGTGCCCTTCTCATGTTCCCAGCAGAGAGAAGACAATGTGCTCAACTGTCACACTGAGGGCCCAAACAGGAAGAAGGGGGGGCAGTCCAGGAGCCCCAGCAGCAACAACCTGGTCTATAGCATCTTGGAGGTCCCACCATGGTATCTCTGCATCCTCATGGGAATCCAGGTAACGCCACCCAGCAGGCACTGCGTCCGAAGAGGCTCTGCCTCCAAAGCGACATCAGTACACGCCCCGGTCAAATCAGTCAGGATCCACAACTTCAGGCGCTGGTGTCCTTGTCTTCCACGCAGGTGACCTCCAGGGGAACCCAGAACTCCTCGGGTCTCTTTCTCTCAGGTGTTGGGGATGGGGGTGAGGAATTAGGGGAAGATTCTCCCTCGTGCTAAGCTGAGAGGTCCCATCAAGGACGCTGTGTCATTTTTCTCTTCAAGATACCAATTCCAGTTTATTTCATTTGCAACAGCTAAAAAATTTGATAACCAATGCTTGGCGAATTTGGGGAAACCGGTACTCTCAAACCCTTCCGTTGGAATATTATTTGATGCAGCCTTTCTGGATGACAATCCGGTGTAGATCATATACCCTTTAACCCAGTCCTCAGTGCTGAAGAATTTCTCTGGATATATTGGCAGGACTTGCTAAGATAAATGCAAAGATGTTCTCGTAGCATTATTGGTAATAGTAACTTCACACCACACAACAAACCAATAAACAAAACCCTAGAAACAACGCCAAAATATCCTTCAAAAAGACTGGTTAACAAATTGTGACACATCTTAGCAAATGACTTTTTTACGCAGAGAAGAGAAAAGAGAAAGATATATATTTATCTTGCAGTTAGAGAATGTGCCCCAATATATAGTAAGTGAAAAAATCAAAGTAACACTGTATAGAGTGTTAGAGTGTGTGTGTGTGTGTGTGTGTGTGTGTGTGTGTGTGTGTGTGTTAAAAACAAAGAGGTGGAAAGACAGAAATAAGTATATGCAGTGATTTGGGGGTTTGAAGGACTCGTAAGAAACTCATAAAGGGATTTAGCTTTGGGAAGAAGAGCTAGGAAAGGGGAGGTGGCTTTCCCCTGTCACCTTTTATTTTGTAGCTTTTTGTGACATGGATGTGTCTCTTTTAATTTTACAAACTGTTCAATGTGGAATATTAGAGATGGGTTACACTTCTTTACATATTTATGCTTTTCTACAAAATAAGAAAAGTAAATACCATACTGTTTTAAAAACATTATTATGAGCCAATGAAATAGATAATATAGATAATGTAGATCTATATTCCCTGACTCAGAAAACTGTAAGGAATTTAAGAAAGCCAAAGGCTGCTGTCCAGTTTCCCCAACACCATTCGTTGAAGAGACTGTCTTTTTCCCATTGGATGGTCTTTCCAGCTTTGTCAAAGATTAATTGATCATATAGTTGTGGGTCCATTTCTGGATTTTCAATTCTGTTCTATTGATCTGTGTGTCTGTTTTTGTGCCAGTACCATACTGTTTTGATCACTACAACTTTGTAACATAACATGAAGTCTGGAATTGTGATGCCTCCAGCTTTGCTTTGTTTTTTCAAAATTGCTTTGGTTATTTGGGGGGGGGGGTCTTTTGTGGTTCCGTGCAAATTTTAGGATTGTTTGTTCTAGCTCTGTGAAAATGCAACTGCTATTTTGATGGGGATCTCGCTGAATGTTTAGATTGCTTTGGGTGGCATGGACATTTTAACAAATGCCTGTTCTTCCAGTCCATGAGCATGGAACGTCTTTCCATGTTTCCGTGTTTTATAGTTTCCAGGGTACAGGTCTTTCACCTCTTTGGTTAGATTTATTCCTAGGTATCTTACTACTTTGGGTGCAATTGTAAATGGGATTGTCTTCTTAATTTCTCTTTCTGCTCCTTCATTATTGGTGTATAGAAATGCAACAGATTTCTGTACATTGGTTTTGTATTCTGTGACTTCACTGAATTCATATATCAATTCTAGCAGTTTTTTGATGGAGTCTTTCAGATTTTCTTTATATAGTATCATGTCATCTGCAGATCGTGAAAGTTTTATCTCTTCCTTGCCAATTTGGATGCCTTTTATTTCTTTTTGCTGTGGGATTGCTGAGGCTAGGACTTCCAGCAGTATGTTGAATAAAACTGATGACAGTGGACATCCTTGTCTTGTTCCTGACCTTAGGGGGAGAGCTCTCCATTTTTTCTCCATTGAGGATGATGTTAGCTGTGGGTTTTTCTTATGTGGCCTTTGTTATGTTGAGATTTATATATTGCCTCCAAACCTACTTTGTTGAGGGTTTTTATCATGAATGGATGTTGTACTTTGTCAAATGCTTTTTCTGCATCTACTGAAATGATCATATAGTTCTTATCCTTTATTTTACTGATGCGATATATTGCATTGATTGATTTGAGAGTATTGAACCACCATTGCAACCCAGGAATAAATCCCACTTTGAGCATGCTGAATGATTTTTTAAATGTATTGTTGAATTTGGTTTCCTAGTATTTTATTGAAGATTTTTGCATCTATATTCATATTGGCCTGCAGTTCTCTTTTTTAGTGGTGTCTTTATCAGGTTTTGGTGTCAGGATAATGCTGGCCTCATAGAATGAATTTGGAGGTTTTCCTTCCTTTTCTAATTTTGGAATAAAGAATAACAGCTATTAACTCCTCTTTTTATGTTTGATGGCATTTACCTGTGAAGCCATCTGGCCCTAGACTTGTTTGTTGGAAGTTTTTTGGTTACTAATTCAATCTCTTTGCTGGTTATCAGCCTGTTCAAATTTTCTATTTCTTCCCAGTTTCAGTTTTGGTATTTTATATGTTTCTAGGAATCTATCCATTTCTTCCAGGTTGTCCCATTTGTTGGCACATAGTTTTTCATAATATTCTGTTACAATTATTTGTATTTCTGTAATGTTGGCTGTTATTTCTCCTCTCTCATCTGTGATTTTATTTATTTGAGACCTTTCTCTTTTCTTTTTGATCAACCTGGCCTGAAGTTTATCAATTTTATTGATTTTTTTTTCAAAGAACCAGCTGCTGGTTTCGTTGATCTTTTCTATTGTTTTTTGTTTTTGCTTTTGTTTTTTAGTTTGTCATTTATTTCTGCTCTAATCTTTATTATTACCTTTTTTCTGCTGGTTTTAGGTTTTGTTTGTTGTTCTTTTTCTAGCTCCTTTAGGGGTTAGTTTAGGTTATCCATTTGAGATTTTTCTTGCTACTTAAGGTAGGCTTGTATTGCTATATACTTCCCTCTTAGAACCGTTTTTGCTGAATCCCAAAGGTTTTGGATTGTTGTTTTTATTTTCATTTGTTTCTTTTATTTCCTGGTTGTCCCATTCACTGTTTAGTAGCATGTTATTTAACTTCCATGTATTTGTGATCTTTCCAGATTTTTTCTTGTGGTTGACTTCTAGTTTCATAGCATTGTGATCAGAAAACATGAATAGTAAGACTTGGATCTTCTTGAATTTGAGGCTTGCTGTGTGGGCTGATGTCTGATCTATTCTGGAAAATGTTCTGTGTGCACTTGAAGAAATGTATATTCTGCTGTTTTAGGATGGAATGTTCTGAATATATCTGTTAAATCCATCTGTTCCAGTGTGTCATTGAAAGCCATTGTTTCCTTGTGGATTTTCAGTTTAGATGATCTGTTTATTGATATAAGTGTGGTGTAAAAGTCCCTTACTATTATTGTATAATTACTGATTAGTTCCTTTATATTTGCTATTAACTGTTTTTATTTATTTGGGAGTTTCTATGTTGGGTGCATAAATATTTACAATTGTTGCAACTCCTTGTTGGATTGTCCCCTTTATTATTATATAGTGTCCTTCTTTGTGTCTTGCTACAGTCTTTGTTTTAAAGTCGATTTTGTCTGAAATAAGTATTGATACTCTGAGTTTCTTTTGACATCCATTTGCATGATAGCTATTTCTCCATCCCCTCACTTTCAATCTGCAAGTGTCTCTAGGTCTAAAATGAGTCTCTTATAGGTAACATATAGATGGGTCTTGTTTTTTAATTCATTCTGTTGCCCTAGGCCTTTTGATTGAACTATTTAGTCCATTTGCATTCAAAGTAATTTTTTTTTAATTTTATAATGTTTGTTTGTTTATATTTTTTTACTTTTTAATTTACATCCAAGTTAGTTAGTGTATAGTGCAATAATGATTTCAGTAATAGATTCCAGTGATTCATCCCCTGTGTATAACACCCAGTGTTCATCCCAACAAGTGTCCTCCTTAATGCCCCGTACCCATTTAGCCTATCCGCCACCGACAACCCCTCCAGCAACCCTGTTTGTTCTCTATATTTAAGAGTCTCTTATGTTTTATCCCCTTCCCTGTTTTTGTATTATTTTTGCTTCCCTTCCCTTATGTTCATCTGTTTTGTATCTTAAATTCCACATATGAGTGAAGTCACATGCTATTTGTCTTTCTCTGCCTGACTAATTTGGCTTAGCATAATACCCTCTAGTTCCATCCACATGGTTGCAAATAACAAGATTTCATTCTTTTTGATTGCCAAGTAATACTCCATTAGCTATATATACCACATCTTCTTTATCCATTCATCTGTCGATGGACATTTGGGCTCTTTTCACATTTTCACTATTGTCGATAGTGCTGCTATAAACATTGGGGTGTATGTGCCCCTTCGAAACAGTGGCATGTATCCCTAGGATAAATACCTAGTAGTGCAATTGCTGGGTCATAGGGTAGTTCTATTTTTAATTTTTTGAAGAACCTCCATACTGTTTTCCAGAGTGGCTGCACCAGTTTGCATTCCCACCAGCAGTGCCAAAGAAATCCTCTTTCTCTGCATCCTCGCCAACATCGGTTGTTGCCTGAGTTGTTCATGTTAGCCATTCTGACTGGTGTGAGGTGGTATCTCATTGTGGTTTTGATTTGTATTTCCCTGATGATGAATGATGTTGAGCATTTTTTCATGTGTCGGTTGGCCATCTGATGTCTTCTTTGGAGAAGTGTCTATTCATGTCTTTTGCCCATTTCTTCACTGGATTATTTATTTTTTAGGTGTTGAATTTCATAAGTTCTTTACAGATTTTGGATACTAATGCTTTATCTGGTATGTCCTTTGCAAATATCTTCTCCCATTCTGTCAGTTGCCTTTTAGTTTTGCTGATTGTTTCCTTCGCTG